CCTATCTCCCTCTCTCTCTCTTCCCCACTTTCTCCATCCTTCCCTGCTTCTCTCCCTCCTCCCCCCTATCGCTCTTCACCCACTCTTCTTCCCTCTCCCTCTTCTACCTCTTTCCCTGCCTCACTCTCTCTCTCTCTCTATATATATATATATATATTTATATTTGTATGTGTTTGTGTCGAAGAGTAAATTTGAAACCAGGTCCTGAAGTCCATGATGACCGTTAATAATTACAAGAGGAATCTAAGAAAACTGTCCTTATTAAAATTACAACTGACTCTGGCAGGAAACAGTAAAAACTCCCTGTTTTTCTGCCTTTGATCTTTACCTTCAATTTTGTCTCCCCTGCCACTAAACGAATCCACCAACTTTTCCATGCCCTCCTCTAAAAATGTCGGAGGCATCGGTAGAGAAGAAAGAAATCAGCTTACTCAACATGTCGTAGAAGTCATTCCAACATCGGTTGCTTAATAACAATTTACTTACAAAAACATTGAATTCTTTTATTTTTATATGCCTGTATGCTTATCTATCGATTCATTTCATTCATTGGAAGACGTACGAGTGAACCTGAAAAGTTTTACTTGATATTTTATACAGATCAGGATTTTACTTCATTTAGGGTAAGAATAAATCACTAGACATTCAGGACGCGGGACTGTATGATATGCGAGTATATATAATCTTAAAACAGAACAGCAAATGTGCAGAAGCAAAGAACACGCATGCGTGAGAGGGTTTCTGCGCGTGCGTCTCTCGGTGTGCGCGTCTTTGCAGCTGACATGAAATAATTACTTACATAGACATCAGTTAATGAGGAACATATGTACGAATTGCCATTCAGAAATAATTTTCTTTATTCGTTTTCTTTTTGATTTATGTCCGTTTCTCTCACACTCTCCTTTATCGTTGTCTCTTGCAAGGCTACGATAGATAGATAGATAGATAGATAGATAGATAGATAGATAGATAGATAGATAGATATGATTAGACTAAGATAAATATGAATAGACTGATATATATATATATATATATATATATATATAGATAGATAGATAGATAGATAGATAGATAGATAGATAGATTGATATGAATAGACTGAGACAGATATGTAAACATTGAGCTGAATAGATATGAATATACTGAGCTAGCTAGCTAGATAGCTAGCTAGCGAGATAGATAGATATGAATAGACTAGGAGATAGATAGATAGATAGATAGATAGATAGATAGATAGATAGATAGATAGATAGATAGATAGATATGAGTAGGCTGGAATAGACAGATAGATAGATAGATAGATAGATAGATAGATAGATAGATAGATAGATATGAACAGACTAAGATATATATGAATAGACTGAGCTAGCTTGCTAGCTAACTAGCTAGCTAAATAGATAGATAGATATGTGTAGACTAGGAGATAGATAGATAGATAGATAGATAGATAGATAGATAGATAGATAGATAGATAGATATGCATAAACTAAGATAGGTAAATAGATATGAATAGAGTGATATATATATATATATATATATATATATATATATATATATATAGAGATAGATAGACAGATATGCATAGACTAATATAGATAGATAGATACGAATAGAGTGAGATAGATATGAATAGAGTGAGATAGATAGATAGATAGATAGATAGAGAGAGAGAGAGAGAGAGAGAGAGATACGAATAGACTGTGATAGATATGAATAGAATTATATATACATATAAAGAAAGAGAGGGGGAATGGAGGAAGTGATAGGAAGCAGAGTTTAAAAAAATATTTCACAGTTATTATAACATTATTGTGATATAATATCGATACTTGTCTTTTAAATTCTTCAGACAAAAGTTATTATTCCTGACCATATATGTCTTACAATGGGACGTTGTTGGATGGTTCGAGCGATTTTCTTTGACTACCAATGTCTAACGACCAAATTTGAACGGCGCCACAACTCCAGTTACCGCCTGTCAGCCGGTACATATATAATAATAATAAAAGCGCGTTTTAAACCTGAGGGCTGTTTTCTCGTGTAAGGGTGAATACACATTCGGTATTTGCTATATACAACACTTTTTATGTAACTATGATTAACCTGTCTGTTAATTCCCTTTTATCTACTTTATTCTCTTATAATGCATTTCTCGCTCCGAGCCAGCTGCTGCGCCATCTTGTTTTTGACTCACTAGCTCATTCACAAAATTCCATCGACTCATATCCGCTTTGCCCTTTTCAATGTAACAAGCGCCATTTTAACTCTTTATTTCTGTTTTTTTTTTCCTATTCGTTTTATTTCTGCTCTGTTTTTCACCTCAACTTCGACCACAACTCATTTGTGAGAGTGCAGACGACATGGCGTCAGAATGCTGAGTTTTTGACGCAGTTAAACTCTTAATCACTTCAGGCTTCTAGACAACTGAATGGACTTATAAAAAATGATAAAAGGGAAATTCTTATAATTAAAAAAATTGTGAATGAATAGAATTCTTTTTTATAAACTTCTAATGGTACTTTTTTATTCAAAAATCCTAAATGCAAATATCCCATTCACTCTTTTTTGATTGAAAGAAAAAAAGGAAAAATTTGTTTCGATTTCGAAAGATGTGTTTCTTCTCTCCCTGTACACATTTTAAGATTTATTAATCGAGATTATGACTCAACCGAACAACAATTGCGTAAGAAAACACGATGAACACTTTCAGATAATTCGAACAAAAGCTATACTAAGTTTATCAAATGTTCACTGAATATCGACCTGAAAAGATTTGATTTTATTATCAACAAAGAATTTATTTTAATTTAAAATCTATTTTTTTAAAATTTTATTTACAGTTTTTTTACTCGTTTTATGATCGCTCAAGATTACAAATCTACTACAACATTGAGAATTCAGTCGTTTTAAAACTTAAGTCTCAAATCTTTTGCGTGTTACTGATATTTTGCGAGTGGGACCTTGGCTTATGATCATGAAACATTGATTCCTTGAAACACTGGTTCGCGTATGAGCAGCGAAATTAAGCAACGCCGAATCCTGTCTGTACCGTGATGGTGGTCACTTGGAAATACCAGGTTCTGTAAGCTTGGATGTGTAGATAACAACAAGACACTGAAAATCAGAGAGTCGATTCCCAATTCCAGTCGGGTCCGTAGTATTTACTTACGCGCAAACAACCTTGGGAAATATATGAATCCACCTCTATTTCCTAAGTTATGTGTTAAATAGTAGAACTTATATCAATAAAAAAAGCACTATTATCGCTAAAACATTCTTATAATCTAAATATGCTTTCTAGTTTTAAATAACCAACAAATGGTTGATAAGGCATAAAAAAAGGAAATCAATCAAATCAGTTCTGCTGAGCTAGCAATACTGTACGCTATTTGTACTAAATCGACGAGAAGACAACAACCTCCATTTAGTCTCACTACCGATTTCGAACTTCTAAGACATTCTCGTATTTGATTTCGTATTATACAATGCTTTTTTCTGTTTATTTTTGTTCTTTCTTGGTCACATTTTCAAAGTGATTTATTATATCTACTGAAAGCCTAAATGTATCTCCTGTCTCTGGTGAAAAGAAAAGAAAGAAATCTATTATCTTGGAGGAAAAATTCAAAAGAATAGGACTATTTTCGACGGATCATTTTCTTTACTTTACCTTTCGAAATGCAACGAAGACGAACACATGTATTTGGTTTTATTTGATTTCTTTCTAGAGAATTGTGTTTTTTTTATTGTTTTAAGTGAACGAATTTCGTCCAATGATTTTTTTATTTGTCGTCTGTTCAGAAATATATGATTTATTGATCTCGTTTAATCATTGTCTTCTTATTTCTTACCAGTAATCGTACTTTGTCACAAAATAATCAATTAGGTGTATTTAATAAAAAAAAGTTCAGTGGAGAAATAATCACCGGTCGATTCCTTGCTACACGGTGAAGACCCCAAAATATTTACTTCGATTATCATAGTCTGGCACAAGTTCTCATCAGAAAGAGCATTAAATTCATAATGTATAAAAACTTGTTTATGAAACAAACTAACCAGTGGACCATTTTTAGACCATTCTCTATTTGGAACAATTGTTTTCCGTCGGAATTGAACCATAATGTTTTTAATCATATCACACAATCAAGGTAATAAAGCCACTAAGACACAAGGGGTTACTGGGTGTGAGAGAATATGAGAAAAAGAAAACATTATTAAGGAGAGAGGACAATAAAAGAACAAGAATTAAGAAGACAGAAGATAACACTTGACAGTGAATTTACATTTTTAAAGATCAAAGTTGACTGGAAAGCAAGAGACAAAAAGAGAGTTCCACAAGCAAGAAGTGCAAGAGAAGAAACTGTAAACATAGAACTTCCGGTTACATCTAGGTATTTGAACTGTAAACTAACAACTGTTAAATATACCAAATAGGTGAAAATATTGAAATGCATTTATTTCCTTTATAATTAAAAGCTTTTCGATATTTTCCTTCGATGTATAAATGTCTATATATTTAGGGGTGGGGTGAGAAATAACGGTTATTGGTACGGAAAATGGAATCAGGATCAGAAATGTAAGAAGCTGCTTGAGTGTGAATCGTTCTTGCTTTCAGGAAGAAAACAGACGTTACATTGGGGGTCTTGGATAATTTTTAAATTTCGAAAATATTTTTGGTCAATTTTGATTTGTGGGAAAACTGCTGCGTTTGTTTTTCATCCAAAACCAATGCAAACGTTTCCTTACAAATTCCGCTCAACCCATTTGGGGCCTACCTGTAGTTTGTTTAAGGGTGCCTTAGGTTTGATTTTCGGAGTCGACGAAATTCAGGTTGCCCTTGTCAAGAAAGAAAACAGCACAAGAATTTTGATACCAATAAGAGGAGAATTGAAAAGAATTACAAGCCCGTTTCCATATCGAGAAAAATTCTTCAGCTGGTTGGCTTAATCTATTCTTCGGTGTTACCACGAACTTTGCTTAGAAAATTGTACCAAAATATTCTT